TGGGGGCAGAGGCATCTGGCAGGGAGATGTGCCAGCTCTGAGTGGCTGAGACCACACCGTTAAATATTTGATTCAGAAGAGGGTGAAGAAAGGCTGCTCACGACTGCCCTCCCCCAAAATGGATAATAAGCTGGCAAAAAAAGGTCAGGGCAAAATGAACTGCCACTTGACTGCTGCCATGGAGGCAAAAGATCTGATTGCAGGCCAGAGAATGGAGCACGGCTATCACAGGTTTTGCTACTGCCTTGAACAGCCTCTAGAAACCGTAGATAGGAGGGGAATAGTCCATACATTTCAGAATTGTGGGAGACTAGGCTACAGAATATGAGAATGGAGATCTGACCTCGATCCATCATCAGCAAGAAACTATCCATCAGTGCCTCACTGTTTCTGTCATAAATGTCCTGGCCTGAATTTGTATTATTCAGGGCCTAGGATATTGGCTTTGGCGAGATGAGCTTGAAGCAACTTTTGGCTTGTTTTTCAATAAGCTCACTTAGGAATGGAAGGTTTTATCCTGAGCCGTAGTTGGCCAGGTCCAGTGCATCCAGAGTGGATTATTTCAGCATTGGTCAGACTACTACATGTTTTAAGGGAAAAGGAAGACTTCTTCTCCAGATGAAGCACTAAGTCAGAAGAAGACCCACATTCTCTTTACTCTCTCATATCAAAAACAACAAGTGGGGGCTGATTCATAGATCTTGGATGAGGTCTCCTTCAGGGTGTCTGATAAACAGAGGAAATAATAGGATATGCTGACCTAAGGAAGAAAGCAATCTGGTAACTGGACGTCATCATAAGGGACCATATCGAAGCCTTTCAAAATGTGAGCAATATTTAACAATGGAGAATGCAGTGCTTGGTTCTGCTGTGAACTACAGGCAGTCAGGGCTAATGACACAATTTACCACTGTGAATAGCTATTTTGGCAACTTCTGTAGAGGTGGTGAAGAAAACTCCTGGGGCTTCCAACATAACCTTGCAACATGCTTGGACATATTCTGTTTCATTCCTTCTT